GCGCTCCCGCCCCGCCGCTGTCCCGGGGCGGCCCCGCCGCGGCGGGGGCGGTGCCGGGGCCGCGCTCGGGGCCGCGCTCACTCCGGGCATCCCCCCCGCCCCGGGGCCACCCCGCGCATCTCCCCTATACCGGCACCGGCATCCCCGTGCCGATTTGTTTCTCGCCCCTGCGGCGCCGAGGCCGGAGGAGGGGAGTGAGCACCCCCCGGTCCCCTCCCGAGGCCACTCCGGCAGCGCCGTCCTGGAGGGAGGGAGGGAGGGAGGCGGCGGGTCCGGCCCCGGTGTGCGGGGTCCCTTGGGGCGCGCACGGCCAAATCCCGGCTGGGGATGCCGGGGCGCGGAGCGGAGGGGATGGGGAGGTACCGGTACCGTGGCAGGTCCCCGGGGGCCGGCCCGAGGGGGCTGAGCCCGTACAAACTGCTGGCAGCCGCACACCGGTTTGTAAGTCTTTTTTTCTTTAATAAAACAATCGGAGGCTGTATCAAAAATTTAGTAAAAAATTAGATTTGAGAGTGCACTGATTTTTTTTTTTTTACTATTAACTATTCCTGGCGCATTTTTTCTTTTTTTTCTTTTTTTTTTAATTTTTTTTTTAAACTTTTTTATCTTTTCCAACAGTGTCCGGGCCAGAGTGCCAGCTTGAGGCCAGCGAGGCCATTCCTGAGCCACTCACAAGGAGCAGCCAGGACAGAGAACACACCCCACCGTCGCCAAAACCCCTTCAGGGCGGGGGTTTTACTTAAAAAAGAACTTCCCCCAACCCTGGCGTTCTCTGGGAAGTAGAGAAGTTGTGGTGGCACAGGGCTCAGCTCACCCTCCTGTGAGCATCCCCTGCACAGCACTGCACCTGGCGCTCAGCCACGGGCACCCCAAGGCAGGCTGACCCAACTGATGACTACTTTATGATCCGTGAGAAAAATAGGATTTCTTTGATTAAAAATAAAATAAAAATGATAAAAGAATCAAATCCCGAACCAAGAAGCTGGTCCCCCAAAGAGGAGAAGGAGGAGGAGGAGGCGGCTTGCTGTCCTCAAGGCCTCTCCCCTAAACCAGCACTGAGCTCACCTGCAGCACAGCACTGCTCTTCCCCTTCCCAAAAACATCCCAGTTTAGGTAAACAGCAGATTAAATGTAAAAACTTAAACCATTGACTTCAGAAAGTCCCTTGAATTTAATTATTTTTAGGCTACCTTTCATGTTACGTCCTGTAGCTAGACACACGTGAATAGAAAAAACAGTACAGTTAGTGTTAAAGGCAAACAGCGGAGACCCAGAGTGCTACCCCAGTGCTGCCTGCTCCTCCCGACCCGGCCCAACCCGTCCCGACCCCCCTCCCTGCCCGCCGCCCCGGCCCCGGCCGAAGCCCAGCCGCCAGGAAGGCGTCTTTGAGCCGAGAATATTTTTTTCTATGAATAAAATAAAACCAAAGCTTGTTAGGCAAAAATAAAACAAGTGTCCCCCCGAGTCCTGCGAGCGCTCCGGTGCGGCAGGCGCAGCCAGGGAGAGCCTGCTGGGGAGCGGGCTGGGGTTTCGTGTTCCCGGCTGGCGAGGGGGCTGCCGGCCCACAGACAGCACCGGTGTGGAGCTGGAGGCCCCTTCTCCCCCGAGGGCCTCCCGTTCATTAAGGGGGGACGTAGGGCGGTGGGGACCTGTACGGGGTCATGTTCTTCGGGCGGGAGCCTTTCCCCTCCATGGGAGCGGTGAAGGGCGGGGGAGGCTGGTAGGGCGGCGCGTTGGGGTCCTCATCCCGCAGCGGCGTGTATTCCCCGATGGTGTCCTGGTTGAGCGGCGTGGTCTCTGGCATGCTCTGGTTGGGGTACTCTGGGGGGGGGAGTGGGGCTTTCTCCTCCTGGAGGATGAGGGGCATGCTGGAGGACGGCGGAGGCTTGGAGTCGTCCAGCTCGTCGGCGAAGATGATGGGCACGCCTTTCTTTATGAAGGTGGCCTGGTCTTCGATGGTCAGCTTCCCTTTCCTCTTCTTGCGGTAGCAGATCATGGCGATGATGCCGGCCACGAGGAGGATGGCGGCCACCACCACGGCAGGGATGACAGTGTGCAAGTACACGTCATCCTCGCTGCTCTTCTCGGGGTCTTTGCCTGCCACCACTGTCGGTGTCGCCTCGGAGATCACCCTGCCGTCCTTGGTCACGGGGACAAACTGGATGTTCTTGCAGCTGCCGGAGCCGACCACTGACACGTTCAGAGGCTTGAATTCGGGCTGCAGTATGTTGGAGAAAGCCGGGCTCGGCCTCCCAGAGTCATCAGCAATTTTTTTGCTCAAAGTCCGGATCTGCTCCCGAGGGCAGGGTTCCAGGGGCAGCGTGTTGTTAGTCCACTCCACGACAATGGAGCCTTTGGCAATGTCCTGCACCGTAATGGTGCTGCTGTTCCTGTCACCGAATGCCAGAGCCAGCTTTTTCACCAGCATGATCTTCTTATGGATGTCGTTCACCACCGCATTGTGGTCCCCTTCCAGCCTGGCCTTGAACTTCACTGGAGACTTGTCCCCGTGCGGGCGTTTGTGGACATGGATTTCGAAAGCATCCACGGCGAAAAGCCCGCCCTTGTCAGTGGCGTACATGAAGTACTCGTGCTTCCCGATGTGGTTGCGGTCTGGCATGCCGTACATGAGCTGGCTGGTGCTGTTGAACTGCACCCATGAATTCTCCTCGATCATCTGCTGCTCCTTCAGCTTCAAGGTCAGCTGCAGCTTGTCAGTGGTGGTGTCTTCCTTGTCGTAGAAGGTATCTGACGGTATCTTAACCTCGAAGTAAGTTCCCTCCCACGCGTCGACCCTGTCGATGTGGTTCGTCAGCTTGGGTGGCTCATTTGGCTCCCAGGGCCGGGGGAGCCCGCTCGCTGTGGTGCGCACGCGGGACGGTGGGGAGGCTGTTGTCAGCTTGGAGATGGGGGATCTGGTTGTGCTGGGAGGCTTTGTTGGACGGGGAGTTTTGGGCCTTCGAGTAGGCCTTCGTGTTATCGCCGTGGAGGAATCCGTTGTGGATGGCGTGCCTGGCTTCAGAGTGGAGACTCTTGGCTTCTTGGTGGTAGTTGAGGGCGGCGTGATCACGGCTGTGGGCTCTACATACCCGGGCATCGTGGGGCGAATCGGCACAGAGGCCGTGCCCGTGCCTTCTGCTACCCTGGTTGGCTGGATCGGTCCCAGCGTGGGCGTCTGAACAATGGGGCCCCTGGTTCTGATGGTGACTGTGGGTTTCCTCGGCAGGGGAATGGGCTCCCGGACAGGGGGTGCCGTCGTCTCCGTGGGAGGCGCGATGGCAGGTGATGTCGGGGTGGGGACAATTCTGGTGGGCGGTTCTTGTGCGGCAGTGGTGGGCGGCCCGATGGCAGTCAAAGGCGTAGGGGTGGCGTTGATTTGCCGCCGCATCCTCTTTGGGAGGTGAGGTTTCTTGTTAGCAATGTGCCAGCCAACAACAGGGTACCCAAGGCGGGCAGACATGGTTCCTTCCTTAGCTGGAGCCTCCACCTTGCTGATGTTGGGGACACTGTTTTGGCTCAGAGAACATCCCAGTTTCCATGAGAGTAAGGCCCCATTTTCCACCACCTTCTTTGCATTTCCCGGTCCAGCCATGAAGGCCGACATGTCAAAGAGTCTGTTATTTACAACAGGAACCAACTTCATGTTATGAAGTTCCACCTCTGAGAAGCTTCTCATTCTGTTTAAGAGTTCAATCCTCTGCTTTGGTGTCATTTTTGTCAAGTCGGCATCCAAAATGACAGTCAGGATGGTGACCGGCTCTTCCGAGCCACACACGAACGGCGCTGCGTCACCCGTGTCTTGGACGGCCACTCGCACCGACTGAGGCTCGTTGTGGTCTTCTTGGTGCACCTCAACGGAGAAGACGTTTGTGGTCTGTGGCACATAGCTCCCGTTTGGGAAGTGCTGCAGCGTGGTCACCGAGATGTAGTGGACACCCTTGTCTGTGTCCAGGGGCAGCCCTTCTAGGGAGCTGCTCTCCGCGTTCCAGTGCAACCAAGAAGGCAAGGAGTCCTTCCCAGCTTCGGAGATCTACCAAACAAAAAGAAGATGTTTTTAGAAGTACAGCATTAGGATAGGTTCTAGCAGCAATAATACTTAAAGGATTAAAGAAGTGTAACAACTGGCCAGAGTACGGCGGCCCATGCTGCCTTCTCCTACGGCGGCAAGGACGAACTCTGCAGGGTGCACTGGTCTCAAAGGGCTTAAGGAGCCATGGGAGGTCATAAAGCCCCACAAGGACCCCTCGCCTTGCTGTGCAACTACCACACAAGTGGCTCATTTTCTCCAAGGGTGGACAGGGAGTTTACGTCATGGGGACAGTTACAAACTGAGGGTGAAGTTATGCCATACAGCCAAGCTGATCCAACAACAGCCCTCTTCCCACTCCTTCCTCTCCCAGCCCTGCCGTCTTCCTCCTTTCCTCACTCCATCACATCCTGCAAGCCCATTGCTCCAGCAGCTCAGCAAAACATATATTTACTCTGCTAACTTTCAGCTTCTTCCTGCTGTCCCCAGCAGCCAGGCTGAACTGGAGGGGCTGGAGGCTGGCAAA